CTTCGGCGAGCCGTTTCCTTTCTCCTGCTTTGTCTCTTTGTTTCCCGATGCATCCTCCTCGGCTTTGGCGTATTTCTTGATTCTCGCCATGAGTTCTTTCATACTTTTTGGCAATGTCTTTGCCAAAGACTTCCGTAGTGGGTAGTCATCTTTCAGGCCGTTCTTGAAAGACACGACCGCCACCTCATGATTGCATTCAGGTATTCAATTGAACACCTCGTAGTACCTTTTTGCGTAGGCCCTAAGGCCTTCATCCTTGGTGATTTTTAAAGCCATCAGTGCGTCAACCCTCAAGGGCTGTAATTTGTTCGTCACAAACCTGGCCACAAACATCTCGGCCAGGCCTTCCCAAGTCTTTACGCTTCACTTCGGTAGTTTATGGAACCAATCTGATGCAATTTCCCTGAAGGATGAGGGGAATACTTTGCAGAGCAACGACTCGTTCCCACTATATAGTGCTATTGAATTCAAGTATAGTCCAACGTGAAAGTTGGGATCTGACTTACCATCATATATTTGGAACCTCGGCATACTGAATCTCTTTGGTGCTTCAAATTTGTCCAGTTCCACCGAGAATGGTGTCTTCGGCTTAACCGGGGAAGTTACCTCGGCTTCAGCATTCTGTTGCTTCCTTTTGAAGTAATCTCTCAAGTCTTCTTTACTCCTTCCTAGAGCTCGGCTATCTTTGGACTTTAATCTTTTCGGCACACTACTTTTGGCCTCGTGGTGGGCCCATTTTGATCTTTCTCCATGGGTTGTGTCAAAGCAGAGCGCCCTGCCCTTGAACGTGCCGATGTTCTTTAGGCTCTAGGTCCTTCGTGTGATGCGTCCTTCGGGACTCCTCTCGTCTTGGCTCCTTTCGTCCGACTTCCCTAGAAGATCGATGTGAGTGCCTTCTGCTCCTGGTGTGCTGAGGGGCGTCAGGGATTGTTTTCCTTCCTCCCTTCTGGGTATTAGTTGCTGGAATCGGCGTGTCGTGTAGCGGGTACGGTGGCTGCATGACATTGTTTTGCATCATGAAGTTGACGACCGACTGTAGGTCTGCCAACTTGTTTGCCAATTCTTTTACTTCTTCATCCCTCCGCAGGCACCTATCCCTTCATACCTGGAGGTTATCTTCGTTATAGTACTTGTTTTGGTCTGCCTTCTTCGAAGTGTCGCCCTCCTGGCTGACGTCATTCTCTCTGTGGCCCTAGTTACGAGTTTCTGTATTGTTGTTGTCTCCTGCAATATCAAGGTCGATTGGTCTGCCACTCCCAGCAGGAGTGTCGTCCCCAATCTTTTCCTTCAGTCCATTACTGGCCATCTATTCTTCTAAATTCCCACAGACGGCGCCAAATTGTGTGAGTGATTTTCTGATCATACTGCCCGCTTAGTAATCAGCTAGAGAGCACTGGCAGAATAGATGGCTTCAGTTATCCTGCAACAGAAAGAAAAGGCTCCGGCGGTGGCTCTTCCACCCGGGGGCACTCCGACGATCAAGTCAGTATATCTCTTAAAGATAATCAAGTGCTAAAAACTGCTCAAAGCATAAATTGCGTACCTTAGACCCACCGGGGTGCCTCTCTTTTATAGTTACCTCAATCCAAATCCCATTAGAAGCCTGATTTTTATAGATTCCTGTTCAGTACTTACTTTGAACTCCTCAAGAGATAAAGATAAACTCCCTAAGAGAATTATCCTTATCTTGGCTAAGTCTCCTCTTTATTCTAGGACTCTTGTCCCCTTATCCGTTTATCTCGGATTCCGATATTTTCGGAGATAACCTCGGCCTTGTTGAGATTACCTCGGCGTCACACGACCAGGAACGTGCACCTCGGCTGACACGTTGGCGTCACCTTGCCACGTGTTAGTACTCAGAAAATATATCCCACACAATTTAATTTAATTTAATTTTTATTTGATAATAAAATGATCAAAGATTAAAGTGATATCAAAATTATGTCTTAACTATGTTAAATTAACCGATGTTTTTTTATTTGTTATTTTAGTTATTAAATTGATGATAATCAAGATTTAAAATAATTATCACAAGTTTTGTTCAATCCTATTTATTTTTTATTTATTTTTTCTTCAATTATAATAATTTATGTGTTTCATTTTATTGTAATATATAAGGAGCATGCTCAATTTAAATCCAATATAACTAAACTAGTTAGTTTTTTTTTTTTTTTTTTTTTTGATCAGCAAAAACTTTATTGATAGCATCAAACTTAATGGATAACATCAAATAAAGCGAAGGCGAGCAAAAAGCAACATAGTGAAACCTTCATCCCAACTATGTTGCACCAAGGGAACACCCAATCATATGCTAGCTCAAACCAAAGGCGTGGCAAGAAGCCAAACAAAAAACAGAACAAAAAAAACAACAAAATAGCATCCAAAAGACAACACAACCATACCAGATCTGAGACTCAAACAACAACAAAAAAAATACAACTGAGACCCACAGCAGACCAAAATCATCCACAGCAACAGCTCAATCAACAAATAAAGAAAATACCCACAACAGCAACTCCATCTTCATTAGTAGCTCAGAACATACATCAGCATCTGAGACTTAAACAACAAAACAGAACCTAAACGAGCATCTTCATCAGCAGCTCAGAACCAACCCAGCATCAGAAGCAGTTCATGAGGCTCCTAAACAGCTTCTAACTTGGTGAAAATTGAATACAACATCATAAATGAAGCACTAGTAAAATGGATTCATCCAATTTGATATCCTCACCTTTATACACTCACAGAGATCATGAATATGAGGTTGAGCTGCCTTAAAAACAATTCATTATGATCACTAAACAAAAAAGACATTTGGTGACAGACTAATTTTGTCTCCAAACATCAAATTTTCATCACTAAAGTGATCTGCGACAAAAAAATTTGTCACCACATTCTGGCCTATACGTCGTCGCTGAAAGTACCTAGTGACAAAAAACAGTTTCGTTGCCTATTTTTCATTTTTGGCGACGAAATGTTTCGTCTCCAAATGTTGAATTTTCTCCTCTAAAAACAACAATTTTGTTACCAAACTAAATAATATTTTTTTTAATTGTTTTTTGTGACGAAATATTTTTTACCAAAATATAATTTAATAACGAAAGTTTTTCCTCACCAATGATATGGATTAAGGTGACAAAAAAATTCGTCACTAAAATGAGCAAAAAAGAAAATTATTCAATGACAAAAAATATTTTGTCACCAAATATTTCAATTTAGCGACGAAATATTTAGCAAATGTGACGAAATTATTTGTTTCGTACTATATCATTAGTGACAAAATTATTCATGTTTTTTGAAAACTAATAGCGACATTTTTTTATTTCTTCACTAATAAAAATTAAAAAATTTGAAAATAGAAGTACTATTTTCTTCCGAAATATTTTCTTTTCAGTAACAATTCCATGTGCATTTCAATAACCTATTCAATAAAATATCTATTACAAATCAATACAAAAATTTGTTCATTTTCATAAACATCACAATAGAATTTCAGCACTATCCACAAAAATACAATATGAACTGCATGCGGATTGTAAACATGTCTCCTAATATCCACAAAAAACGCCTACTAATATCCATAAAAATATAATATCAACAGCATGCGAATTATCAAACACATCTCCTAATATCTAACAAAAAACATGTCTACTAATATCAACAAAAATAAATATCAAGGGCGGATTACCAAGCATGCCCTGTAATATCAACAAAAATATAAAATTTACAACGCAACCAAAATACATATAAGGTAATATGAACAAAAACACAAAATGAGCTACCATCTGCTCTCCAAATTACCAAACATGTCCATATCAAATCTTGAATCTGCAAAAAAAATGAAACACAAAAAAAAAAAAAAATGCAAGCTAGACAATTATTATCTTATCCATAAAATATACAATTTAACATGCATTTTTCGAATTAGTTTTCAAATCGGGAGTCCGGTGCAAGTTCCGTTAGTTTCTACCAGTGTTTTTAAAGGCTCAAGGCGCACTAAGGAGCTGAAGGTCTCTCGGGGCTTAGGCGCAAGGCGAGGCGCGGGCTTTATTGAAGTAAGGCGCACAGTCTTAGTAAAAAATAGAAAAATTAACATAGACTAATCATTCATAATACTAAGACAATTTTTTTTAAAATAAAAAGTAATCAAGATTCAAGACAAAATATAGAATAATTCTCAAAGCCATGAAAGTGCATATTACATAACATTTAAAACATCCAAAAATATAAACATAAACACTAAACATCCAAAACATAAATATCCAACAAATACTAATATATGTCTTAACACTTAAAAAACAACAACATCAAAAGAAAGGGTAGGTTAGGTCGGTCAGTCAATCATCATTCTCAACATCAATGGCAAACAAACTATCATCTTCTTCTCCATCAGTTGATTTGTATCCCTCAACATCTTCCTCCTCTGTGTCATCTGAGCCCGCTTCCTCTTCATCTATTAATTGAAGTGGAGTTAATCTTGATGATTTAGCTATCCTCGGTTGTGCCTTTGAGCGTGAACTTGTTGCTCTACTTGCATGGCTACTTTCTTCTACTCCAGAAGCTCTAGCAACAGTGGCCCACGTCAAGCCATCATCATCATCAAACACAGGCTCATTATCTTCATCTGATTCTCCATCCATCATCCCAAGCAACCACTCATTGCTTTCATCAAAATTTTGCAAAGATATGAGATCAAGAGTGTTGCGCATGTCATACCTAAATTTCAATGTTCTATTGTATTTGACATATACTAAATCTTCGAAACGTTGTTATTCCAATCTATTTCTTTTCTTGCTATAAAGCTGCAAGTATTAAAAAGATATTAAATTCTATATAATGAGAATAAAAAATATTTGAATTGAACAAAAAATTAGTTAGAATGTTAAATACTTACATGTTCGAATACACTCCAATTTCGTTCACAACCCGATGAATTACATGTTAGGCTAAGAACTTTTATGGCAAAAGCTTGCAAGTTTGGAGTATAAGAACCATATGATGCCCATCAATCAGCTGCGATAATCCACTAGTTAGAAATAACTGTTTCCAAGTATTGAGTTTTACTAAAAGCACTACTAAAAATAAACTCTATGAGTCTATAATATATTACTTGGTGCTCTTGTATTTCTTTGCCTAATCGCAACAGACTTGCCAAAAAGACTCTTAGCCTTCATATAAATACTCATCTCATTAGTGATCAAATCTTGAACAGTGACATCCAGGACCAACCTTTGCATGCATTCATAAAGCCCATTCATCACTTCATGATCTCTTTGCACCTCTAACGCTTTTGGGTAAAAGAATTCTGGGTTAAGAAAATGCGCAGCTGCATGTAAAGGCCGATGCAATTGGACATCCCATCTTTTGTCCATGATTTCAAAAATTTCATTATACTTCTCTACTTTATGATCAAATGAACTTGCAATGCATTCTTTTGCCCTATCCATTGCCTCATAAATGTATCCCATGGGAGGTTTCTTCTCGGTATCAACCAATCTAAGCACTTTGACAAGAGGACCCGAGACCTTAAGGGCAAACACAACAGTATTCCAAAATGAAGGCATCAACAAAGTTTGTGCCATTCTTTTATCTTGTGGCTCCTTTGCCCATTTTCTTGAGGTCCAGTCTTCGGAGGTCACCATCTTTCTCAAATTATTTTTTTGTTGATGCATTCTAGACAAAGTCAAAAAGGCGGTTGCAAATCTAGTTTTTGCAGGCTTGATCAAATTCTTCAAATTTGTATAGCGCCTCATCATGTTTAGCAATGTAGGCCGATTGTAAATGTAGTCATGTACTGCAATACCCCTTTCAAATGTCTTTTTCAGTCTAGGTATCTTGAAAATGTCTTCTAACATCAAGTCCAAACAATGAGCAGCACATGGTGTCCAATACAAGTGTTCATACTTAGCTTCCAAAAACCTCCCTATAATGTAACAATAACGAAGAATTATTATTTTCAAGTTTTTAAATTTTAAATATAAAACAAACTATAAGTAAACAATTTTGATGTAAGGAATGAGGAAATATTCTTACCCGCCAACACATTAGCTATCAGTGATAACTTGCATCACATTCTCTTTTCCAACTTTCTCCACAAACTTGTCTAGTAATTCAAAGAGCTTTTGCCCATCTTTTGAATAGCTAGAAGCATCAACCGACTTAACAAACATAGTTCCTCTTGGACAATTAACTAAAAAGTTAATCAATGTCCTTCCTCTCTTATCAGTCCAACCATCAGCCATTATGGAACACCCATATTTTGCACAATCCTCTTTATGATACTTCATCAAATCTTCAGTATGTTTCACTTCTTTTTTGAGTTGGGTAACCTGCACTTCATGGTAAGTCGATGGCTTCATACCAGGACTATATTGGCCAATGGCTTCAATCATTGGTCCAAAACTCTCATAATTTACTGCATTAAAAGGGATACCAGCATCATACATCCACCTTGCAAATCTTTGCAGTGCCCGAGCTCTCATTTCTTTTCTGTAAGGGTCATTTGCATCAATTTTGGTTTGTTTCCCTCTTGCTTGGTCTCTTCGATTTTTCACCACTGATTCAGGATTGGGTGTGAAGTAAACATCCATAGGCCCTTTTCTCTTTGGCATTTTTGATTTGGATTTGAATTTGGATGAACCTTGGCTACTACTTGTCAACTTGCGGTGTTAATTGACATTGATCTCAACAACATCATCATCATCTTGATCTTCATCTTCCATGTCCATGTCATCGAAATCAGACGTGTTCATTTCTTCTTTTTGTGTCTTTTTTTTTTACATGAACTCTCTAATCTCTTCTCTTACATGAGAAGGACACTTCAGGCAAACGGTGACATTCCTATAACCTCCCGCAAGATGTTGTTTCACCTGATAAACACCTCCATTTGATACTTTACCACAAAAATTACACTCGAACTTGTTCAAATTATTCTCCTCTACCAAATGGGCATATTGCCACGCCGGATCTTTTCTATTACTTTCCGATGATGTCATTTTCTACACAACAAATTTAATAAATGAAAAATAATTTCAGTGTAATGTAAGTGTGATTAATTGTGTAATGTAATAGAAAATTAATTAACACAAAGTAATGCAATTGTGTAATGCATAGTGTATTAATTAATTGTGTAATATAATGGAAAATTAATTAATATAATGAAGACTAATCAGAGCAGATGTGTAATTACAATGAAGACTAATACAATTAATTAATTAATTGTGTAATGTAATGAAAAATTAAAATTAATTTATGTAATGTAATGGAAAATTAATGGAAAATATTTATTTTGTATTTATAATGGAAAATATTTAATTAATTAATTTTGTATTTAATTAATGGAAAATTAATTAATATAATGAAGACTGATCAGAGCAGATGTGTAATCACAATGAAGACTAATACAATTAATTAATTAATACAATGAAGCCTAATACAATTAATTAATTAATTGTGTAATGTAATGGAAAATTAAAATTAATTAATGTAATGTAATGGAAAATTAATTAATTAATACAATGGAAAATTAATGGAAAATATTTATTTTGTATTTATTTTTTTGTATTTATTTAAAAAAAATATTTATTTTGTTAAAATATTTAATTGACAAAGGCATAAATATTTTGTATTTATTTTTTTTGTTTTAACAGAGACTCAAAAAAGGCATAAATAATTAAGCAAAAAAAAAAAAAGGGCAGAGCAGAAGAGACGACACAATCCAAGTCGAAGAAGAGAAAATGAGAGAAGAAGAAGGAGAAAAATAAAAATAAAATGAAGACGACACAGTCCAAACAATCGAAGTCGAAGGAGGGCGAGAGAGAGACAATCGAAGTCGAAAAAGGCAGAAGGGGAGAGAGAGAGAAAGTGTAGCGCACCTGGAAGTCGAAGTCGAAGTCGAATCGAAGTCGAGAGATGGAGAGCCGAAGAGACGACACAGATTTAGGGCTTCGTTTCAGTCGTATGGGGTTTGTAGTGTATATAAGTTGTAATCCTCTGTGGTTAGAGTCATTCCGAACACACACCACAGCCGTTAGATCAAAGATTAGGGCGTAAACATCAGTCGCGCCTAGGTGCGAGCCTTGCGCCTCTCTTGCCTGCTTCCAGTTGCGCCTAAGGCACGCGACTTCTTCAACATGCCTCGCCTGGGAGCAATTCAGGCGCACAGGTTGAGCCTCGCTACGTCTTGCGCCTAGGCGTGCTTTTGACAACACTGGTTTCCACAACTTACATTGGTTCCTCCCGACGTGTTTGAGGTGTTCCCCGGGTCGTCCCGTGGCTGTTACACGATTTTGGCTCCCGAAGGTCTATTTTCAAGCTTAAGTATGAAAAATTGCAATTTTGGACTTAGTTTTCAAACCGGGAGTCCCATGCTAGTTCCATAAGTTTTTATAACTCATATTGGTCCCTCCCGAGGAGTTTGACATGTTCCCCGGGCCGTCTCGTGGTTGTTGCACGATTTTGGCCTCTGATGGCCTATTTTCAAGCTTAAGTATGCAAAAGTGCAATTTTCGACTTAGTTTTCAAATCGGGAGTCCCTTGCTAATTCCGTAAGTTTCCACAACTCACATTGGTCTCTCCTGGGGTGTTTGACATGTTTCTTGAGCCGTCTCGTGGCTGTTGCACGATTTTGGCCTTCAATGGCCTATTTTCAAGCTTAAGTGTGAAAAAATACATTTTTCGAATTAGTTTTAAAACCGGGAGTCCCGTGCTAGTTCCGTAAGTTTCCACAACTCACAATGGTCCCTCCCGAGGTGTTTGATGTGTTCCCCGGGTCATCTCGTGGCGGTTGCACGATTTTGGCCTCCGGTGGCCTATTTTGAAGCTTAAGTGTGAAAAAGTGCATTTTTGAACTTAATTTTCATACCAGGAGTCTCGTGCTAGTTCTGTAAGTTTCCACAATTCACATTGGCCCCTTCTAAGGTGTTTGATGTGTTCCCCGGACCGTCTCGTGGCTGTTGCACGATTTTGGCCTCCGATGGCCTGTTTTCAAGCTTAAGTGTGAAAAAATACATTTTTTGACTTAGTTTTCAAACCGGGAGTCCCGTGCTAATTCGTAAGTTTCCACAACTCACATTGGTCCCTCCTGAGGTGTTTGACGTGTTCCCCGGGCCGTCTCGTGGCTGTTGCATGATTTTGGCCTCTGGTGGCCTATTTTGAAGCTTAAGTATGAAAAAGTATAATTTTGGACTTAGTTTTCAAACCAAGAGTTCCGTGCTAGTTCCGTAGGTTTTCACAACTTACATTGGTCCCTCCCGAGGTGTTTGACGTGTTCCCCGGGCCGTTTCGTGACTGTTGCACGATTTTGGCCTCCGATGGCCTATTTTCAAGCTTAAGTGTGAAAAAGTGCATTTTTTGACTTAGTTTTCAAACTGGGAGTCCCATGCTAGTTCTGAAAGTTTCCACAACTCACATTGGTCCCTCCCGAGGTGTTTGAGGTGTTCCCCAGCCGTCTCGTGACTGTTGCACAATTTTGGCCTCCGATGGCCTATTTTCAAGCTTAAGTGTGAAAAAGTGCATTTTTCGACTTAATTTTCAAACTGAGAGTCCCGTGCTAGTTCTGAAAGTTTTCACAACTCACATTGGTCCCTCCCGAGGTGTTTGAGGTGTTCTCCGGCCGTCTTGTGGTTGTTGCACGATTTTGGCCTCCGGTGGCCTATTTTGAAGCTTAAGTATGAAAATGTGTAATTTTGGACTTAGTTTTCAAATCAGGAGTCTCGTGCTAGTTCCGTAAGTTTTCACAACTCAAATTGGTCCCCCCCGAGGTATTTGAGGTGTTCCTTGCGCCGTCCCGTGGCTATTGCACAATTTTGACCTCCGATGGCCTATTTTCAAGCTTAAGTATGAAAAAATGTATTTTTTGACTTAGTTTTCAAACTGGGAGTCCCATGCTAGTTCCGAAAGTTTTCACAACTCACATTGGTCCCTCCCGAGGTGTTTGAGATGTTCCCCAGGCTGTCTCGTGGCTGTTGCACAATTTTGGCCTCCGGTGGCTTATTTTGAAGCTTAAGTGTGAAAAAGTGCAATTTTGGACTTAGTTTTCAAACCGGGAGTCCCGTGCTAGTTCCGTAATTTTTCACAACTCACATTGGTCCCTTCCAAGGTGTTTGAGGTATTCCCCGGGCCTTCTCGTGACTGTTATACGATTTTGGCCTCCGATGGCCTATTTTCAAGCTTATGTGTTAGAAAAGTGCATTTTTCTTTTCAAACCGAAAGTCTCGTGCTAGTTCCATAAGTTTCTACAACTTACATTGGTCCCTCCCGAGGTGTTTGAGGTGTTCCCCAGGCCTTCTCATGATTGTTACACGATTTTGACCCCCGATGGCCTATTTTCAAGCTTAAGTATGAGAAAAGTTCATTTTTCGACTTAGTTTTCAAACCGGGAGTCCCGTGCTAGTTCCGTAAGTTTTCAAAACTTACATTGGTTGCTCTTGTGGTGTTCAGGGTGTTTCCCGGTCCTTCTCGAGGCTTTTTCACGATTTTGGCTCCCTAATGGCTTACTTTCAAGCCTAAGTGTTAGAAAAATGCAATTTTAGACTAAGTTTTTAAATCGGGAGTCCCGTGCTAGTTCTGTAAGTTTTCACAATTTACATTGGTCCCTCCCGAGGTGTTCAGAGTGTTTCCCGAGCCTTCTCATGGTTGTTTCACGATTTTGACCCTCGATGGCTTATTTTCAAGCCTAATTGTTGGAAAAGTACATTTTTTGACTCAGTTTTGTGCCTAAGTGTTAGAATAGTGCAAATTTCAAAGTAGCCACTTGCTTGTTTCGTAAGTTTGCACAACTTATGTTGCTCCGTCTCAAGGTGTTTGTGATGTTTCCCGAGCCTTTACATGCATATTTCACTATTTTCCTGGAACCTTTTACGCCTAAATGTCAAAGTAGTTTTTTATTCTATCCTAGTTGAAGAAGAAATTTTCTACTAAATTAACATAGAAACATAATATACTAACCAAGAAGCTTGCTACATCACTTGGATTGCCTTGTAGATCAAATTGATCCTACAAAATCAAATTTTGTTCACATACACAATTAGATGTAGCAGTAACCAACTATGAAACACAACAGCTAGGCTATAGGAGTAACTCGACAAT